GTGCTTGCTTTTTTTTTTTAAATGTGTTTTCACAGTATCTGTTGCTGCATTATGCAGAGTGGCAGAAAAAGAGAGCAGCAAATGACAGCCACCAGGAAACTGCAGCCGGCGAAGCTCAAGGTTTGGTGATGTGGTGTTTTTTTTTTATCTGAACTTGAACTTCAGAATAAGCAAATATTATCCTCATACAAGAGTCATGTGTATTCTTCCTTGAATCTTGGTGAGCTTTGTGTATTCCTTCTCCAGTGTGATACTTGGAGCTTCCTGTAATAAAGACCGCTCGCTGCTGCTCTCTCTCCTTGTGCACGGTGACTGGTCTTGTCTCCGCCCCCTCCTGTAATAAAGACAGCTCGCTGCTGCTCTCTCTCCTTATGCAGGGTGACTGGTCTTGTCTCCGCCCCTCCAGTAATTTACAGCAGGCAGTTTGTAGTGGGTGTGGCCTTTTGGGTCCCTCCTACAGCTCTGTTCTCTGCCCAGGCTTTGTACAGCACAGTGATGATGTCATTGCTAATTTATAAGGCAAATTCTGGTTTGGTAAAGACATTTGGTACTCACAAAGTGGATTTATACCCTTGTGACTAGTGTGAAATGTATTTAAATGAAATATCCTCAGGACTCCAAGAAATAATAGCCTGTGACAATGGAAACTATGTTTTTCCAGAGGAAAAACAGCACAGAGAATATCTACCTGCTCTACTCCTTTCTCTTGTGTTAAGCTGAACTCCTTCTCCTAAGCACCATCCTTCTCCCAATCCCTCCACACATTTGCTCTGTCTCCAGTCACAGCAGCTGAGCTTGTCTTCATGTGCATGTGTGGGGGATCAGGAGGTCGGCATTCACTCCAGTATCACTAGGGGGTGCTTATACCAACAGCTACTCCATCCTAACAAGAAGACAAGGCGGAGCTTTGAAAAATGCCAGAATATTTTAGGGCAGGCTTCACACCTTGCGATAATGCCTACAGGTATAGAAAGAGCATAAGGGCTCATTTACATGGGCGTGCACGTCTGTATGGCGTTCACGCCCATGCAGAGACCTGCTCCTAGGAGGGACAGGTGTAGCATGTAATTGCAGACAGTCTTCGTCCAGGTGCGGGCACCCAGACCTGCACGGAGGTGCAGGTCAGGGTCAGCATGTAGTCGCATGCAGCCGCGTCCTCCTATAGGGATGTACAGGAGTCTGTACAAAATTACACGCTGCACCTGTCCCTCCCAGGAGCAGGTCTCTTCATGGGCATGCACACTATATGGATGGGCACACCCATGTGAATGAGCCCTAAAAGTTTTTTGTCAAATCTGATTAGTTATTAATATTAGTTAGTATGGGATGGTGTTTACACCCCGTACACACCATTGCGTTCCATGAACGTGTCGTGGTGATGTGCATTTGTGGGAGTTTTTCATGTGTTTGCCACGCATCCACATTGATTTCCATGGGTTTCTGCACGTCCAGCAAAAATTGGAAAGTAGCTCATGCAGCAAATTCTGATATCTATGTTCTGTGTTTTCTTACCCTTGTTTGTGCGCTTTCACGCGTGCAAACGCAAGGGAAAAATGAGCCGTTTTGGGATGCCATTAACCAATTATGGCACTGCAAGTGCATTGCACATTTTTTATGCAGCACAGTAATACATTTCAAAGAGTGTTTTTTTCCAACATTTGGCGCATGCTTACAGACTAGGTGCGAACTGTGATTTAGGGACAGCACAGGGTACTTTTCTAGGGTGAAGGTGAACTTACCCTTTAAATTGACTCTGTTACTTTGCCCAGTCAGGGAGCTGGCAGTGAGTGTCTATTCCTCTCTTACACCGCAAGCAGGCTCTGAGTCTGAAGTAGGTAGACTCACTGAATCTCAAGGTTCCGTTTTCAGATTTGACCGTGTTGTACATATTGGTCTGCTTGAGATCGAATTGTTACATTTTATTTAATTTATTTTTTATTTTATTGTAATTTTTTAGCTACACATAATTGGGCTGGGGATGTTGGGTTGGTTGCACCCCACCCCTACAGAGTATATAGTAAACCAAGAATTAGGTAATGGGGCTTTGGTGGTACAACCAAGAGTCAGTGTACCATAAAAGCACCATTTATTTGTATTTTCATTCACAACCACATCAAAATCTCCCATATACACCATACACACTGTTTGCATGCTTCAGTAACTTCACATATCTTTAAATCAGAATGTTCAACATAGATCCATTACAAATTATTCATAGCTTGGCAGTGCTGTAATGGTACGCAGTCCTCAACGCATTTCACATAGAGAGCTTCTTCAGGAAGAGGGAGGGAGTTGTGTTCCAACACTGATAAAAAAAAAAAAATAATGGAAACACCAACACAGAAGGGGGTCATATCAGCAGAGACAAGTCCCTATTGGGTGCCAATATAGCCTGATCTGAAGAACACCAAGGTCTCTCTGGGCACCTTACATTTTTTGACAAATTATTTTTTTGACCAAACTGATTCATATCTCTTATAGGAAGAGCCTTTCCTCTATATATTTTTTTTTTTTTCGGGGGAAGGGGTAACATTGTTGGCGCTGAGCTGTTGTCGAAGTATAAATGACTGTGTGTGGTGCACTGCGTATCTATAAAGAATAACAAACCCAATAAAGTCCACAGATGTTTTATGTATTCATATGCAGACAGGAACCGAGCATTAAATTATTCGGGCCTGCGGACATTCACTTTGCTTACAAAGACAGCAATCGGAGCCGCTGTAAAACTGGTTTTATAGCCTTGTTCAGGATAACAGTCTCTTTTATCTGTACTTAAACAACTTCCAAACAGGAAGGTTATTTAAAAGTAAGCATACGACAGGTAAGTGAAAGAAGGAAAAACATGAACATTAAATGGGAATAATGAGACTGAGTGCAGCGATGTTCACTTCCACAGACTGCCAAGTGTGTCCCCCTGCCATGTTTTCTGGGCTTTACTAGACCTCTAATGGTTCTTTAAGAGGACCTGTCACTAGCAACATGCGAGTTAAATAAAATCAATAAAATAATAACTGTGAAGCTGGACGTGTTTGGTATCTATTCAGTCAGTGCAACCTCCTCTTTTATATTTTACCAAATACTCTCTTTCAGTGTGGGTACCTAAAAAGTCTGCAATATGTATCTAAAGTAGTTGTAACCACCTGGATGCAGTATCCCAGTTTATCCCCTAAATGGCGTTGTATGATAAATGACAATATGGATATTGGATCATTTTTGTGAAATATGGTCTACTATATGTGGTGCGGGTCTACAAAGTGGGATATTTTAACGGGGTATAGAAACCATGGAATTTTAGGTCAATGTGAAAAACCTGATCATTCAGTATGTTCAGAGAGGCAGCAGACCTAATTTTTTGGTCCCATAATGTTGCTGAACCTAGACCTATTATCCAATGGAAGGCTCTGACCTATTTGCTTAGCTAAATCCAGGTGGTGACTTTTATTTGGCCAGGCAGTGTATTTGCAGTTATAATTGGTCCATGGTAGTCTTTGATACAGGTTTTGTTGTTTTCTTTTTGAATATTCTTCCACAGTATGTCATGTCTATGTAAGTGTTATGAGAACAGTTCCTGCATGACAAAAGACTAAATGTGAACATTTCTCATTGAGCACAGCAGGTTCTTCAATAGTCTATTATATCAAAAGGTTCTATTTACTTCCATGCTATCAATATCAATTTTGCTAGAAATATGGAATACAGCTTTATATCAAGATCGCAGGGATGCTCAGTAGCAAAAAACTTTAATTATTTTGTTTGTATTTAAATGTAAGGCAGAAGAGCCATGACGAAGACATAAAATACATTTTTTTGGCACTTCCATACACTATGGTCTGACCTCTGCATGACTCTGATGGGTACACAAAGGGGGTTATTCACTAAGGGGGGACCCCTGGAAAAGCACCCTCCCAGTGCCGAGGGCATGCGGCCTGGTATGGCAGGGAGGGGGGGGTGTGCGCTAGCTCGTCTCCCCCCCTTTCCTGCCCTTCCAGTCTGCTGCCCAAATTAAGGGTCTGGTTGGGAATTATAGGGGGACCCCACATTTTTTCCCCTGTGTTTTTGGGGTGGGGTTCCTCCTTAAAATTCCCACCAGACCTATAGGGCCTTGTATGACTTTTGGGGGGAACCCCACACACTTTTTTTTTTTTTTAAGGTCCCTCCTAACCTTCCTATCAGACCTAAATGGTCTGGTATGGATCAGGAGGGGGACTCCATGCCTTTTTTTTTTATACATTTGCGGGGAGAACAATCTGGTTTGGCAGACAATTCTCTCTGCTTCGGCTGTGAACTCAGCTCGGCCGAGCCGAAGCATATACATTTGGCTCGGCTGAGCTGTTCGGCTGCTGTACGGGCTATTGTACAGCAGACCTTCGGTTCAGCTGAACCCGAAGGGCTCTGGCGGCTGAAGTGAGCCGAAGAATTAGCCGAAGCTACAGCTATATCATTCGGCTCCTTAGTGAATACCCTCTAAGTTCTGACAGCAGTAGAAGGACTCTTGCTGTTGCAAGACCCTCTAAGAAAATAAGCATGCACGATTGGGAAATCTGCCATACGACCTACATACAGGAGGGTCACATAGTGCTAGTGACCTGTTAAGACTGCCTTCATGTTCTGCAGGCAAATGGCTGCATGCAGAGTCAATGAACATGTAGTTATGTCCAGCCAGTCTTAATATGTACACAACCCTTGCCATACAGCAGAACCAGGTTAGCGATTTGACTTTTCTTTGGTGCAGTTCAGCAATTTAGTCTGGTCACCTCTCTGCCCTGCCTGCAACCCGATTAATGAACAATGAAGAGGCAGTAGAAGACTGATGACCTTATTTCTCTGCTCACTCTGCTCTCTCCTCCTAGTACCATGTCACAGCTTTACTGTACAGGTGATTAAAAGAAGTTCATACCAAGACAAATTCAGGGACTTACACTCGGTGAATTTGAATACCTGTCCCTCAGAAATGTTAAACTCTAAATAGTGGTACCTTTTGCTGCTCATTGCTGGTGGCAACCATAACAGCCTTTCATCCCAGTGTTTAATAGGTGTTGCAAAGTCAGCTTTGATGTTAAGTATTTCCAAGCTGCTGTGTTTATCATTATTTGTCTATGTAACCCCTTTAACACAGCTCTTTGTTTTATGTCTGAACAGGATGGACGGCAGACTTTTATTGGACACCAGCTGGGTGGTGTTGCCGAAGTGCCAAACAGCAAGGATCAGCGGGTCAAATCCGCCAGAGCCATCCAAATGACGTACTACCTCCAAAACTATGGCTCTGTGATCCAGGACCACATCAACGAGCAGTGGGAAAATGAATTTTGCACACTAATTCACCAGCTGCAAGAGGAACACCACGACATTCAGCTCTATTCATTGACGTCCTTCAGCTTGTTCAGAGACTTTCAGAAAACCATAGAGTTGTCTAGAAGTAAGATAGTGGTGAGTCTCATGCTGGTCCTTCTGGCTGCCACTCTCTCCAGCTCTATGAAAGACTGTCTACGCAGCAAGCCTTTTCTGGGCCTACTCGGAGTACTAACAATCTGTATCTCCAGTGTCACCGCGGCAGGGATCTTTTTCGTTACTGATGGAAAATATAACTCGACTCTGCTGGGAATACCATTCTTTGCCATGGGTAATTATACTGTCCTTCATACACAGAGAGATAGCCAGAGTGGTTTTAGTAAGTGTGACTTGATATGCACATATGATGTGCATATTTGCACATTGTGGCCAATAGTCCCTGGAGGCCCAAAATGTTTTATTGTCTCTTTCTGGTGGTTTAATTCCGCTTTAAGAAGATGCGAAAGACAAAAGGGCAGCTCTCCACTCTACCAGATGCTTATATGTCAAGTGATACTGTTGACATATAAGGGTACCTGTTTATTAGAAGCTCAGTAGGTGCTCAGTAAGACTTTTGAAAGTTTATGTAGGCATGCATTCTGATTCTGTGGTTGATTTGAAGATTTGGTTTCTGTTATGAATGGATTGTAAACCACACAAATCCTTCCCATATGCCTTAGTGGTCAAATGTTCAGCCAAGACTACTGATTTATAACTATTCCGTTTTAGCTGCTGTGGGTATATAAATAGTGATTCCCAGATGGTCCTAAGTTGTGATTGAAGTGCAGTAACGTGATTGATTGGGAGAATAGGTTTGAGAATCGGTAGAAGTCATGACTCAAGATCTTCATCAGGTTTAATCTCACAAGAAAGATCTTAACATTGTGATCAGTTCTATAGGTCAAAATGGATAGCTCAAAGTGGAAGTTGAGTCTAAATTCTCAAAAGTGCTGCAAGGTGGGCTTTTTATGGCAGAAGACACTGTGTCCCTTCTGTCATAGATGTTTCTCACTGCTTGTCACCACTTTTCTCGATGTCTTGATGTCTGTGCACTGAGCCACACATGTGCATGTGTGGGAGTTACATCATCAGGGCCCAGCCAATGAAGTGGGATGAAGATGGAAGTGCTTGTGACTAAGGGGTTAAGTCAGGGTGGAGCCCCGACAAATAAGTGATCACATTCAACTGGACTTATTTTGTACTATTGAAGACATTTTGCTGCTTATTCAAGTGGCTTCTACAGTGCTATTGAGTGTCAGGAACATAGCACAGCATGTATCGCAATATTAGAAACTGCTAAGTCATCCTAATCCAATTATCATAGAGCCATGAAATATGTCCAGATGGAGTAGATTGTCCTGGAACATGATGGGAAGTGTAAAAGAGTGAATCACCAACGTGGCTACAAATGTTCCCACCACTCATTAGAACCGAGGAACCCTTTGGATAAGTGGTGAAACTTCTACAACATTACAGAGCAAGTCCAACTGAATGTGACTATTACTAGGTATATCATGACCTTGATAAATGATAACCATCACAGACATTTTTTATAACTATTGATATCCTTCAAGTCCATTTCCAGCCACCTCAATTTCATTTTTAGACACTGTAACTCTTGTAATAATGACCTAAAATACGTGTTTTCCCAAAAGACACTTTACAACCCTCTTTAACGTCTTTGCTTAGCCAAAACTTATTTTCTTTGGATAGAGTAGGGAATAATTAAAACCCCCGATTGTTTATTTTTTTGCTTTCTGGGTCCCTTTGGGGGAGATTTCCCTTCACTACCTGTCCTTGAGATGTAATAGCAAGTAGGAGAAAATATCCCCAAAGTTGGAAGACATCACATTGTCACTGGAAGAGGTGCCTCCTTTGGAAAGGTCTCTCTTCACCTCTTGCAACAGCGACAAGTGTAAAACTTTGGATTTCTCATCCCTATCCCCCTTTGGTGACAAGTGGCAGCATCTGTATAAAGCCCACCTCCATATGATGGAAGGGGTGACATCACTGATACCCCTTAGCTCCGACACCTGCCAACATGGTATTTTGGTGGTGGCTGCAATGGAGTAAGGAGTATAAACTGGTCGCTGGATGAGCTATATGCAGACACTGTCACTTTGCACTGAATCACTTTTAGTATAAAAAAGTATCTGCCATTTAAAATTAAAGGGGCTTAAAAACATATTAACACTTTCAAAAAAAATTAAATAATTCCATTATGTCCCAAAATCTAAAAGTGAAATTGCTTCAATACTTTACTCTATAGAAGCTTGGCCGGTGTCCATAGTTTGCACCGACGGGACTTGACAAGCTTGAAACCGTTGTAGGCACGTTTGATACATGGTTCTATATTAGGTATGTTTCTGTGTTGTTAACAAGCAGTTCTAGATGCAGAATTAGACACAAGGGTGTAAAGAAATAATTTGTATGCTTCTGCTCACTGTCCTTAGATGATGAATAAAACCCAGTGGGGCAGATATACAAAAAGCTTCACAGGCAGTTTCTGCACGTTGTTCTTTTCTTTTAGCAGCGACAAGAAATTCATAATCACATTTAGGCAATTTTCCCTCATAATTTGCAACAGCAGCTGTATAGTTATTATAGTTTTAAACTGAGCATGTTGTGTGTGGGCAGTCCCTTCGGGGTCTTATATCCCCCTCCTTAGATTTTAGATTTGTGGTGGAAATAATGACATATTAGTACCCTCTGTTTTACAAAACATTGCTGCACAATATCACAGCACTTAAGGCATGTTCTAGTGGCCTCTCAAGCAATATTACCATGTATGATAAAATCACTTGAGAAACCATTTCAGCGCACCTTAAATGCTTAATATCAAATAAGGCATCTCAAACTTTTTGAGCTATTGCTATGCCTACTGTAAAGTTGGGGAGCTCACAGAGCACTCGCACAGTGTTTTTTTCTATAAAATAAGAGTTTTTATTTCTTCTCTTCAGGCAACTCAAAAGTGAAAAACACAAATGGAAGCTTAACGTCTGCCACAACTCAAAGTAAAGTGCGCTTGTCTTTCAGCAAATAGGGTATATTATATAGTCTCACCAAATCAAGGTTGTCCCAGTATTTTAACGTTTTCCTCAACAAATCGCCTCAGGGGTACTTCATACCCTTTAGCAGCTTCCAGCAGCTTTCCACACACCTTGTGTGCCTGGCTCTCTCAGCCTGTCAAATCCTCCAGCCTCCCTGGCTGTTCCTTGTGTGGCTCCACCACAGCACCTGGCTTGGCCCTCGTGTGCCTCCGGCACACACCACCTCCTCTGAGCTCTGGCCCAAAACTCTTAACAAGGCTGCTCTCAGCCACCTGATCAGCCCAGACTGGTCATTGGCAATACCTGGCCCAGGACTGGAGATTTCATCCCACCCATAACTCTAAGGCCTCGTTCACACTATTCTCAGTGCGTTCCGTCCCGATTGTGGCCCGTACGCACTGGATCACATTGCAGCAGGCTCAGTATGTTGTGCGGCAGGAGGGGGCATGGCGGTGCATTGGAGTGAATGCCACCGCAGCCATGCCCTCCGGCCGCAATGCGATCGGCTGCATGGGAACGCAAGGCAACATCAATGCAAGCACTATTTTTTTGGACCGGACCACAGGCATTGATGTGCCTTGCGTTCCCGTGCGGCCAATCGCATTGCGGCCGGACGGCATGGTTGCGCTGCCATTCACTTCACTGCACCACCACACCCCTCCCGCCCCACAACATCCTGAGCTGGCCGCAATGCGATCCAGTGTGTTTTGGCCACAATTGGCCCGGAACGCACTGAGTATGGTGTGAACGAGGCCTTAGAAATCTCCAGAGCTCCAGATCCCAGCTACAATTTCAAAAACCCGGAATAAATTGAAAAGCCAGCTTCTTTCTTAGAGAACTGTTTACATTCTGGACCCTCTCATCATCTCTGGCTGAGAGTCCTGGATGCCAAAGTTGCCAAACTACACCGTGGTATTGCCATGACCTGCCACACTACCATGATAACATACAATTAACCCTGAGATTCCTTCGCAAATTGAATGAATTTCAAATTTAGAAATACTGGATTTTTGCTCACACTTGATTGGACAATTGAAGTCAGCATAGCTTCACCTAATTTACTAAGCTAAGTGCAAACTCACTTTGCAAAGTAAAAATTCACTTAGCTTAGTGAATGAGATGAAGCTGTGCTAACTATAGTCATCAAATCATGTGTGAGCAAAAATCCAGCTTTTCTTGTCCCTTGCATACGATTGGGATTTTTTTGAAAAGTAAATTCTTCACTTTGCTTCAGCATAGGAACCAAACTAAGGGGTCTATTCACAAAGCTGCCGAGGGCAGCCGAGTGAATGACCGATCAGAAGTGAAGTGAGCCGAACACTGTTCGGCTATTCACTTCAGGCTGGTACGGCTGATTTCAGCCGTATATCGGCTGAAATCAGCCGTACATCGGCTTGCTTCGTGTGGCTTCGGATTCACTTTGCAAAATAAAAATGAACATTGCAAAGTGAACATGTTTCAGACCATTAACAAATCAACCGCATTGCCTCAATTCTGCAAATAGAAGAACTGCGGACTCTCCTATGGGCCATTGACTGACCGCCCTATGAGTCATTGGAAAATGGGCAAAGGAGCTGGTAGGCTTCTGTTTGGGAATTAGACATGTATTTAGCCTAGAAGCAATTTTATACTTTTACTCAATCATATGCCTTTATTATAACACAATAAACCAAAACTGTTTCCATTGTAAGTTGTTTAAATTTCGACTTTTTCTCTAAATGGGAACTAAAATCCTTACTTTTTTAAATACATGTGTAAAAGAAATCAGCTTAAAGGAAAACTTACTTTCAGTACATTTGTCCTTTAATGAATCCCCCACCCCGCTTAGTGCAGCATAAAACACTAGCATTCACCCCATTCCAGAGATCTTCACTGTGTGGCTCTGCCCCAGCACAGCACAGCTTTTGCAATGCAAACATCCCCATTGGTTCCTCTTCATACCTTACATGCATGCCACAGCCCCATTCAGTCTTATGGTTGAGCCATCCTCACATAATGGCAAAGTTTCTGTTCCACTAAATGAACCCCATCATCAAACCATAGTGATTACAGTAGGGATTACTGTTACCTGATGAAGGGGTTGGTTTAGTGCAGTCTTTCTCAACCAATTTACTCTGAAGAAGACCTTGAAATAATTTTCTAGTCTAAAGGAATCCATGCTAAAAATTAGTTGTCCTACAGTTCACAGTATATTAGCATGATCACTAAATTGTACAACATTTCACATATAAGAATAAATAAT